CGCTAAGTGAACTGTTGTAAGTCGAGGACTACCTGTACTTTATCAAGTTTTTGACACCTTGCTAGGCGACTGGTGGTACTTGGATGTTGCCATATCCTAAAAGTGGTACAATGGGTGAAAAGGTTGAAAAGCCCTGACCTAGTCCAACCCCTCTTCTTTGCTAATTTGTCAACAAAGAGAGAAAACTTGCAAATCCTTCTTGGGACTGTAAGATCATGGCAAACTCTTTTTCCTGAGCAGAGCGATGTGTCCTTCAAGGAGGTGGCTGTGTATTTCTCTAAAGAGGAGTGGTCTCAGCTGGATGCCTGTCAAAAAGCCCTCCATGAAGAAGTCATGCTGGAGAATTCTCGGAATGTGGCCTCGCTGGGTAAGGAGCTTGGTGCACAAAATATTGCCTTGTATGTTTAAGGAGATTCTCAACCATCCAGGTCACGGTTGTAATAATAATAATAATAATAATAATAATAATAATAATAATAATAATAATAAGGTTAACAAGGTCCGCACTAGATATTGGAGTTCCTGGATATCTGGTGAAAAATGGGTTACAGGACTCAGGACTGTTGGCTGAGCAACCAGGGCCAGCAGCTGCAGAACTACTGGAAGAAAAGGTGTTTACCCGTCGCAGATACACAGTGATGGAAAACAAAGAAATAATGATCTGTTACTACAGATCAAGTCCAACAAGAAGAGGATATCTAAAACGAATGCACCAGTTCTGGAAAGAACAACATCCAGAATCAGAAATAACAGAACAGAGACTAGCAGATCAACGCCGATTTATAACACGAAATAAAATATTCACAGAAACAGAATTGGACGAACTGCAAAGGTTTACCCAGGGCAAAGAAATCAAAGCCTTACCAGAAGTAATTCAGAATGTAGAGGCAAACCAGGGGGAGTTGGCAGTGAAGGAATCTAGCAGAGATATACAACTGTTCTCATTTGGAAATCAGGCACCTCTACCTCAGGAAGAACAAAACCCTCTAACTAAAGAAATAAAAGAATTGAAACAAAGAATAACTGAGCATCTAGAACAGCACAAAAACAACAGAATAAGGCTACCTGCATTGAAGCTTGTTCCAAAGAAACAGCTAGCACAAGCATTAAAAGATGCAAATACTGCAATATCAAGTATAAGCACCAATTCACTGCAAGAAACAAACCAACTAATGTACAGCACAGCTGCAGTTATAACAGAATACCTGGGATGCAAAATCAACAAAAAAGAAAAACAAACAAACAGTGCACCAGAAAAAATGGAAGGTTAGACTAGAAAATAAGATCAGCAAGTTAAGATCACATGCAAGCAAGCTAGAACAGATGAAAGAAAAGAAGCTGAAGAACAAGAAGACCAAAGAATACCTAATCAAGAAATACCACTTAGAAACAAGGAAGATCAAGGAAGCACTGGAAATAATAAAGCAACAAATAACAGCTATAGCCAGGAAAATCAGTAGATATGAAGCTCGAATTGCAAACTATAGGCAGAACCTCCAATTTCAATCCAATCAGAAACGTTTCTACCAATCCATCAATGGAGAAACTGCAAGGAATCAGTCAGTACCTGACAAGGAAGAAACAGTACAGTTCTGGAAGCAGATATGGGATAACCCAAAGAAATACAATAAGGATGCGGCTTGGTTAAAAGAGGTGGATGCAAATAAAACAGAAGTTGAAATGAAAGAACTAGCAATAACAACAAAAATGGTAGAAAAAAGAGCAAAGAAAATCAAAAATTGGTCAGCACCAGGTGAAGATGAACTGCATGGGTTTTGGTTGAAACATCTAACTGTTATACACCCACTCATTGCCAAGCAGTTCAACAATATACTACAAGGAGGAGAAATTGAAAAGTGGCTAACAACTGGGAAAACCTACCTAATAATGAAAAATCCAGCAAAAGGGGCAACACCAGGTAACTACAGGCCAATTACCTGCTTACCAACAACTTTCAAATTACTAACTGGTGTAGTAGCTGATGCAGTGCAACAGCATCTAGTTGAAAACAATCTCTTTCCACCTGAGCAGAAAGGAAACCGCCCCAATAGCAGAGGAACAAAAGATCAACTCCTAATAGACAAAATGATCTTGGAAAACTGCAAGAGAAGGAAGACCAACCTGAATGTGGCATGGATTGACTACAAAAAGGCATTTGACTCTCTGCCACATGATTGGATAATAAAGTGCCTAGAAATAACAGGAGTCAGTAGAAACATCAGAAAATTTGTGCAAAGATCGATGGCACAATGGAAGACACAGTTGCAGATCAATGGTGAGAGGCTGGGAGAGGTTAATATCAAGAGAGGAATATTTCAAGGAGATTCATTATCACCATTACTATTTGTTATTGCACTGTTTCCTCTGTCAACAATACTGAATAACTCAGGACATGGCTATCAAACATCAAAAACATCTGCTAGACTATCCCACCTCCTTTACATGGATGATCTGAAGCTGTATGGAAAAACATCATCTGAAATAGAATCGCTGCTCAACACTGTCCGTATATATAGCCAAGATATTGTAATGGAGTTTGGCTTGGACAAATGTGCCACACTTACTATCAAACAAGGAAAAATAATGAAAACTGAAGGAATCAAGATGCCCCACGAAAATAACATTAAGAGTCTGGATGAGGAAGAGTACTACAAATACTTGGGTATCCTTCAAGCTGACAACATCAAGCACACTGAAGTCAAGAAAAAGATTAGAGGTGAATACATCAAGAGAGTGAAGAAGATCTTAAAATCCAAACTCAATGGAGGAAATACCATAAAGGCAATCAACACCTGGGCAATCCCAGTCATTAGGTACACAGCTGGAATAGTGGACTGGACTCAAGCAGAACTAAAAGCAATGGATAGGCAGACCAGAAAAATAATGACAATGAATCACGCCCTTCATCCACGCAGTGACATTGATAGACTTTATCTACCAAGGCAAATAGGTGGGCGTGGAATGCTACAAGTACATCAGATGGTTGAAGAAGAAAAAATGGCTTTGGAAGAATATCTGAAGAACAATGATGAAGATGCACTGAAATTAGTATATCAGGAAGGCTTACTAACTACTGGAGAGACCAAACTGGCCTACAAGAAAGACCAAATGAAGAACAGAATAGAGGCATGGGAAGACAAAGCACTACATGGCCAATACATGAAAAAAATAGCTGGGAAAGCAGATAATAATAAAACCTGGCAATGGCTAAGAGCAGGAAAATTGAAGAAAGAGACCGAGGGACTAATTCTGGCTGCACAAGACCAAGCCTTAAGGACAAATGCATACAAAGTCAAAATTGAGAAGACAGCAACAGACAGTAAGTGCCGCCTATGCAAAGAAGCTGAAGAAACAGTGGACCACTTGGTAAGCTGTTGCAAGAAGATTGCACAGACTGATTACAAGCAGCGGCATGACAAAGTAGCAACAATGGTGCATTGGAAGATCTGCAAAAAATATCATTTGCCTGTAAGCAAAAACTGGTGGGATCATAAAATAGAGAAAGTCATAGAAAATGATAAAATTAAACTGCTCTGGGACTTCAGAATTCAAACAGACAAGCACCTGCAACATAACACCCCAGACTTAACAATTGTCGATAAGAAAGACAAAAAAGTCTGGATAGTGGACGTGGCAGTGCCTGGAGATAGCAGAATAGAAGAGAAAGAACTGGAGAAGATAACAAAATACAAAGACCTACAAATAGAAATAGAAAGACTGTGGCAAAAGCAAGCAAGGGTAGTACCAATAGTCATAGGCTCCTTGGGTGCAATCCCAAAACAACTGGAGCACCACTTGAACACCATTGGCATTGACAAATTCGCTATTAGTCAATTGCAAAAGGCGGCCTTATTAGGAACTGCTTCCACTGCTGCATCATGCGACGATATCTGTAATACCATCACACATCCACATCTGCCTATCCCAGGTCCTGGGTAAGGACTCGATAGGTAGACAAAATGCCAAATCCAGTCTGAACATCTGGCTGACTGTGCGATGATCGATAATAATAAAAAAACTGTTCTGGGACTTCAGAATTCAAACAGACAAGCACCTGCAATATAACACCCCAGACTTAACAATTGTCGATAAGAAAGACAAAAAAGTCTGGATAGTGGATGTGGCAGTGCCTGGAGACAGCAGAATAGACGAGAAAGAGCTGGAGAAGATAACAAAATACAAAGACCTACAAATAGAAATAGAAAGACTGTGGCAAAAGCAAGCAAGGGTAGTACCAATAGTCATAGGTGCCTTGGGTGCAATCCCAAAACAACTGGAGCACCACTTGAACACAATTGGCATTGACAAATTCGCTATTAGTCAATTGCAAAAGGCGGCCTTACTAGGAACTGCTTCCAGCCTGCGACGATATCTGTAATACCATCAAACATCCACATCTGCCTATCCCAGGTCCTGGGTAAGGACTCGATGGGTAGACGAAATGTCAAATCCAGTCTGAACATCTGGCTGACTGTGCGATGATCAATAATAATAATAATAATAATAATAATAATAATAATAATAATAATAATAATATTGAAAAGCTGGGAGAGGTTAATATCAAGAGAGGAATATTTCAAGGAGATTCATTATCACCATTACTATTTGTTATTGCACTGTTTCCTCTGTCAACAATACTGAATAACTCAGGACATGGCTATCAAACATCAAAACATCTGCCAGACTATCCCACCTCCTTTATATGGATGATCTGAAGCTGTATGGAAAAACATCATCTGAAATAGAATCACTGCTCAACACTGTCCGTATATATAGCCAAGATATTGTAATGGAGTTTGGCTTGGACAAATGTGCCACACTTAACTATCAAACAAGGAAAAGTAGTGAAAACTGAAGGAATCAAGATGCCCCACGAAAATAACATTAAGAGTCTGGATGAGGAAGATTACTACAAATACTTGGGTATCCTTCAAGCTGACAACATCAAGCACACTGAAGTCAAGAAAAAGATTAGAGGTGAATACATCAAGAGAGTGAAGAAGATCTTAAAGTCCAAACTCAATGGAGCAAATACCATAAAGGCAATCAACACCTGGGCAATTCCAGTAATTAGGTACACAGCTGGAATAGTGGACTGGACTCAAGCAGAACTAAAAGCAATGGATAGGCAGACCAGAAAAATAATGACAATGAATCACGCCCTTCATCCACGCAGTGACATTGATAGACTTTATCTACCAAGGCAAATAGGTGGGCGTGGAATGCTACAAGTACATCAGATGGTTGAAGAAGAAAAAATGGCTTTGGAAGAATATCTGAAGAACAATGATGAAGATGCACTGAAATTAGTATATCAGGAAGGCTTACTGACTACTGGAGAGACCAAACTGGCCTACAAGAAAGACCAAATGAAGAACAGAATAGAGGCATGGGAAGACAAAGCACTACATGGCCAATACATTAAAAAAATAGCTGGGAAAGCAGATAATAATAAAACCTGGCAATGGCTAAGAGCAGGAAAATTGAAGAAAGAGACCGAGGGACTAATTCTGGCTGCACAAGACCAAGCCTTAAGGACAAATGCATACAAAGTCAAAATTGAGAAGACAGCAACAGACAGTAAGTGCCGCCTATGCAAAGAAGCTGAAGAAACAGTGGACCACTTGGTAAGCTGTTGCAAGAAGATTGCACAAACTGATTTCAAGCAGCGGCATGACAAAGTAGCAACAATGGTGCATTGGAAGATCTGCAAAAAATATCATTGCCTGTAAGCAAAAACTGGTGGGATCATAAAATAGAGAAAGTCATAGAAAATGATAAAAATAAACTGCTCTGGGACTTCAGAATTCAAACAGACAAGCACCTGCAACATAACACCCCAGACTTAACAATTGTCGATAAGAAAGACAAAAAAGTCTGGATAATGGACGTGGCAGTGCCTGGAGATAGCAGAATAGAAGAGAAAGAACTGGAGAAGATAACAAAATACAAGACCTACAAATAGAAAGAGAAAGATTGTGGCAAAAGCAAGCAAGGGTAGTACCAATAGTCATAGGCGCCTTGGGTGCAATCCCAAAACAACTGGAGCACCACTTGAACACCATTGGCATTGACAAATTTGCTATTAGTCAATTGCAAAAGGCGGCCTTATTAGGAACTGCTTCCATCCTGCGACGATACCTGTAATACCATCAAACATCTACTTCTGCCTATCCCAGGTCCTGGGTAAGGACTCGATAGGTAGACAAAATACCAAATCCAGTCTGAACATCTGGCTGACTGTGCGATGATTGATAAAATAATAGTTGGAAGGGACCTTGCAGGTCATCTAGTCCAACCCCCTGCTCAGGCAGGAAACCCTGTACCAGGGGTAGGCAACCTTGGCCCCTTCATGACTTGTGGACTTCAACTCCCAGAATTCCTGAGCCAATATGGCTCAGCTTGGAAACTTCTCCATTTCCCCTCAGCATGGCTGGCTCGAGAATTCTGGGAGTTGAAGTCCACGAGTCATAAAAGAGCCAAGGTTGCCTACCTCTGCTCTATACCATTTCAGACAAATGGCTGTCCAGTCTCTTCTTAAAAACTTCCAGTGTTGGAGCATTCACTGCTTCTGGAGGCAGGTTGTTCCACTGATTAGTTGTTCTCACTGTCAGGAAGTTTCTCCCAAAGGTGCTTTTCAAAAAGGCAATTGGACTTTGTTGATTTTTTAATTTTTTTAATTTTTAATTTTTTTCCCCCTTGAAAACATTTCGCTTCTCTTCCAAAAAGCTTCTTCGGTTCTTCAGAACTTGACGAGAAGCAAAACATTTTCAAGGAAAAAAAAAACAAGAAAGTCCAGTTGTCTTTTGAAAAAGCACCTCTGTAGATTTGTAGATCTTGTGGAATTGTAAAACTGGTCCCAGTTAAGCTCAGCAGCGGCTTTATTTTTTTTCTGCTCTTTAAATACAGATACGACGACAGTGCTTAATTTTTTTTATGAAGAAATCATGAAAATAAGCAAAGGTTTCTATCCATTGATACAATAGAAATTGTCCATTTCAATATTATATGTAAATTTATTACTATTAATAATAATAAAGTTGGAAGGGACCTTGGAGGTCATCTAGTCCAACCCCCTGCTCAGGCAGGAAACCCTATACCATTTCAGACCAATGGCTGTCCAGTCTCTTCTTAAAAACTTCCACTGTTGGAGCATTCACCGCTTCTGGAGGCAGGTTGTTCCACTAGTTAATTGTTCTAACTGTCAGAAAATTTCTCTTTAGTTCCAGGTTGCTTCTCTCCTTGATTAGTTTCCATTCATTGCTTCTTGTTTTGCCTTCAGGAGCTTTGGAGAATAGCTTGACTCCCTCTTCTTTGTGGCAACTCCTGAGATATCGGAACACTGCTATCATGTCACCCCCTGGTCATTCTCTTCGTTAAATTAGACTTACCCAGTTCCAGCAACCATTCCTTATATATTTTAACCTCCAGTCCCCTAATCATCTTTGTTGCTCTTCTCTGTACTCTTTCTAGAGTCTCAACATCTTTTTTACATTGCGGTGACCAAAACTGTATGCAGTATTCCAGGTGTGGCCTTACAAAGACATTGTAAAGTGGTATTAACACTTTACGTGTTCTTGATTCTATCCCTCTGTTAATGCAGCCTAGCTCTGTGTTGGCCTTTTTGGCAGCTGCAGCACACGGCTGGCTCATATTTAAGTGATTGTCCACTAGGACTCTGAGGTCCCTCTCACAGTTGCTACTATTGAGTGAGGTACCCCCTATACTGTACCTGTGCATTTGGTTTTTCTTGCCTAAATGTAGAGGCTTACTTTCAGAACTTAGTAATAACCAAGACTAAATCAAGCTATTACGTTTTGACCTGGGTTTAGAAATATTGCAGTCCTTGATAAAATTCGAGCTGGAAATTTACCGTCAGTTTCTATAGTTCAGCCCTCTCTGTGGGCACGTGCGCCATTGCCCCAGCCCCGCCTCGCCCCACGGCCCCCTCACCAGCAGCTCCCCCGGAGGAGAGTCGCCCCCGAGCACGGCCTGCGCAGAGCAGCGCAGCCAAGGACATGGCAGCCAGGCAGTGGGGGCAAGACTCCCACCCTCGCGCCCTGTCATGTGCAACTGATGCTGCAGGGCGCAGGCAGAGGGCGTGGCCGCCATGGCGCTACTGGGCTGCCTGGGTGATCTGCAGCGGGCCGTGGAGGCGGTGGGTGGGCCTGCAGGTGGGCGGAGCGGGGACAGAGTGGGCTAGGGGAGGGGAAGCGGGGCTGGGTTTGGGGCACTCGCTCTCTAAAAGGTTCGCCATCACTGCTATAGTTGTTCCTTATTTCTTTTCTCTGGCCTTATTACAATTGTCACTCTCTTTTTTCTCTCTCTCCAGGGAGTAAAGGGCAAGGGAATAAAAATGGCAAGGAGAGCCTCCAAGCTTGGACGCTTGAAGCGGGAAAGGGACCGTTTGCAAATGAAATGGAACCAAAAGCGCGCAAGGAAAGTCCCTCCAAAAACGGAAGGAAACGAGGTTCTTCCTTGCCGTGGCCTCAAATTCAAGATTTGTTGGTCCAACCAAACCGCCGTCTTAAAAGTAAGGGAAAATCTTTGGGGAAAGGCGGAGAAATATTGCAGGACGTATCCGATGTAAACCAAGCTTGCAGAACCCCGGTGAAAGGACAGAAGACGGGTCCGCTCAAGGAGAACAAAAACAGTTCCCGTCGTACTTTTGCTCTGTCTCTGCGCGAAAGAGTCAGCCTGGGGGAAAAGCCGTATAAATGCCTAGAATGTGGAAAACACTTCAGCAACAGCAGTTCTCTCACTTGCCACAGAAGGATCCACACCGGAGAGAAGCCCTATCAATGCTTGGAGTGTGGAAAGAGTTTCAGTAGCAGCAGTAACCTCACTGCTCATAAAAGGAGTCACTCGGGAGAGAAACCCTATCAATGCCTGGAGTGTGGGAAAAGCTTTAGCATCAGCAGCAGCCTCACGTCCCATAAAAGGAGTCACTCGGGAGAGAAACCCTATCAGTGCCTGGAATGTGGGAGAAGCTTTAGCACTAGCAGCAGCCTCACGTCCCATAAAAGGAGTCACTCGGGAGAAAAACCGTACAAATGTCCCGAGTGTGAAAAGAGCTTCAGCACAAGCAGCAGCCTAACGTCCCACAAAAGGAGTCACTCGGGAGAAAAACCCTATAAATGCCTGGAGTGCGGGAAGAGCTTTAGTACAAGCAGTTACCTTATTTCTCACAAGAGGATCCACACGGGGGAGAAGCCTTACAAATGCACAGAGTGTGGGAAAAGCTTCAGCAACAGCAGTAGCCTCACTTCCCACAGGAGGAGCCACTCGGGGGAGAAGCCCTATCAATGCCTGGATTGCGGAAAGAGCTTCAGGAAAAGCAGCAACTTTGCTTCGCACAAAAGGACCCACACGGGGGAGAAGCCGTACAAATGCAGGGAGTGTGGAAAGAGCTTTAATCAGAGCAGTGACCTCATTTCCCATAAAAGGATCCACACGGGGGAGAAGCCGTACAAATGCATGGAATGTGGGAAGAGCTTCAATACCAGCAGTAACCGTGCTTCCCACAAAAGGACCCACACAAGGGAGAAAATCTATAAGTGGATGAAGGTACATTTTAGCAAAAGCGCTAGCCTCTCTAAACATAGAAGGATCCATGCCGGAGAGAAACCCTATAAATGCACAGACTGCGGAAAGAGCTTTAGGAAGACCGCTACTTTTATTTCCCATAAAAGGATTCATGCGGTGGAGAAACAGTATAAATTCCTGGAGGGTGAAACCGGAGTCTAAGGAAACGCTTCTCTTTTGTTCTCATAATAGGATCCATCTTGGAAATAAAGCCTATCAAAGTATAGACTGGAAAGAGCTTTAATTAATGTTCTCACGTTGTTGTTGTTGTTGTTGTTAGTTGCGAAGTCGTGTCCGACCCATCGCGATCCCATGGACAACGTTCCTCCAGGCCTTCCTGTCCTCTACCATCTTCTGGAGCCCATTTAAGCTCACGCCTACTGCTTCAGTGACTCCATCTAGCCACCTCCTTCTCTGTCGTCCCCTTCTTCTCTTGCCCTCAATCTTTCCCAGCAATAGGCCCTTCTCCAGTGAGTCCTTCCTTCTCATTAGGTGGTTCTCATCTTACTTACCCAAATTCAGTCCACAGAGCAGAAAACTGTACAACTGCATGGAACAGTGAAAGAGCTTTATTAACATGGGTCTTTTACTCAAACTAAGAAGAAGCAATGGGGAGGAAAGCATAAAGATACGGGGAATGTGAGAAGAGTGTTGGACAGTGTTCCATTAAAGCTGCATACAGGAATGAAAATATGTAACGTGTGGGGAGAGTTTCAACCGAAAGAGCTATCGTCTTTCCCACACAAAGGATGGATGAAGTGTGGAAAGTATTTCCATATGTATAGTTTATGCTTCTCATTCAAAGAATCCACAGTGGAGAAATTGTATAAATGTTAGAGCACTGGGGAAAATGTTGATTCCGTACAGATTTTTTCCCCTCGGAGTTTAAACATTCGTTACAACCCGGATATGTTGTAGGTGGATATGGTGATGCCTTTTTCCTTGCTCATTGTCTTTAATACTAATAATATTCTCTTATGTAATGTGTAATGTTAATGGATTGGCATCTTTTGCGTAGCCCGGAAAGGATGGGAACAAAAACTGCAGCTGTTACATAAATATTTGGTAGACAAGATGTACATAGATGGCCATTCTTACTGCGCCTACTCCAAGCGTAGCAGATGGAGGCTAGGTCTAGGGCAGGGGTAGGCAACCTTGGCTCTTTTATGACTCGTGGACTTCAACTCCCAGAATTTCTGAGCCAGTCATACTGATTCAGGAATTCTGGGAGTTGAAGTCCACGAGTCATAAAAGAGCCAAGGTTGCCTACCCCTGGTTTAGGGGCAACTGCCCACCTTCCATCCTAACCAGGATCACGAAGCTCTGACACCAGTAACTCATCCCCTAATCAGCACATGCTTGGACTACTGGACTACAGTCTTTGTAGGATTGCTTTGATGATTAATCAGAAGCTGCCATTGGTGTAGAACTTGTTTTTGCAGTGTAGCACTTATCTCTGGAACCCGCCCTCGCTACCTATAATATTCCAAATCCAATTCCATTGCTCCTTTTTATGTACCTAACCCTACATTGAGTTATTTGAGAGACCATGTTCTTCGAAATTATTCTTTTCATTCAGTTGGGTCAGCCACCTGAGAAGTAAAGGGATCTTGGATCCAGAGGCAGGAACAATTATGTGCAACAACGTACCCCACAGATATCTAGCGCCTTGCTGTTAGCCTTTTACGAGGTCATGAAAACCATTTTAGCTTAAATTTTAGCTTAATAAGTTCTGGTGACCTGCATTTTTGTGATAGGTGGTTGTTCCAGTGTTTTTATTGTATGCCAAAATGATTGAGGAGTTTGGGTAAGAAAAGTAGTTGTAATAAATTCTTGGTTAGCTTGGGGATAAGCATCTAGCACTCTTGACTTTTATGTAGTCCAACTACAGATTTTGTAACTCAAGGACAGACTTGTTCCCAACACCTTCAAACCAAGTCAATGAAGCATATAATAATTGGTGGTAATTTGAATCAAACTTTGGATCCTGTTTCTAGATCAGTGGTTCTCAACCTGTGGGTCGGGACCCCATTTGGGGTCGAACGACCATTTCACGGGGGTCGCCAAACAACGCAGTCCGCCATTTTTTCCCCCTTTTCCTTAGCTGTGCTACTCCTTTTTATTCTATTGGCTTTTGAAAGCCAATAGAATAGACTCTCTTGAATAGAGTCTAATTCTATTGGCTTTCCAAAGCCAATAGGAATTGTCCAGGCTGTCTCTACCCTGATGAGCCCGCCAAAAGTCCCCTTCTGCAAACGGTGCTGCACCAGTTGAGTAGTCCTCGACTTATGACTGGTTGAGTAGTCCTCGCCTTATGACCGGTTGGGGGTTGCGGCATTAAAAAGGTTGAGAACCACTGTTCTAGATAGTTAACAGTCTACTGCTGAAATTAGATTTTAATATTTTCTAAGAACATATCTGCACGGTGGGTATTTGATGCCCTATTAATCCTTCCCAACATGAGCATATTTTTTTTATTTCTACACACAGGTATGCTTTGGGCTTATTATTTCTCAATACGCTTATTATTTCTCAATGCACTTTGATATCGAAAGTTAAAGCTACTGCCACTTCCATCCTATATCCCTTTTGTTGTTGTTAGTTGTGAAGTCGTGTCCAGCCCATTGCGACCCCATGGACAACGTTCCTCCAGGCCTTCCTGTCCTCTACCATCTTCTGGAGTCCATTTAAAATATCCCTAAGTCTGATCAAATAAATCAGACATTCAAATTAATGTTTTTTTCAATGAAGTTCAATCAATCAAAACAATCATCAATAACATTTCATCTATATAAATCCAAATCCTGTATTGAGCTTTACTATTTACAATTACCATATTCCAATTTGGTTTAGATAAACATTAACACTTCAGGTGTCTCTCCTTTCCCTTTTTCTTTAACATAATCAGTGACTCATTTATTAATATCATTTCTTCTTTTATCAAAAATCCCTCTTATTCTCCTTCCATTACAAAATAACTATCCTTCCTAAAAATAAAAATATTACTCCAAAAATACATTTCTACTCTATTTTAAATCTATAATCAATATCTATGGAAAACTCTTTTAACCCACTCAGTAAAATTTAAATCCGATCCAAATAATTATATCCACAACAAACATATTAATACAAAAAAAATCTCACTAAGTTCACATATTTAATTAATCTTTATTCAATCAGGATCTCTAATGTCTTATTTACCAGTCTTAAACCTTGAGTCAATCCGTGTCTAAAAAGCCTTTTAAATCCATCCAATAGGATTTTTAATATAACTGGATTATAAAGATGCATGTGTTCTTGTCCATAATCCCAGTATTAGGAATCTGCCAAGATATCAAAAACTTTTGACATCGGAAGAGGTTAAATTTTCATCCCCAAACTAGGAGAACTCCATAGCTAATTTGTAGCAGTGGATTGTTAATATGTGTTGGCTGCCTACATTTAAATCAGTGTTTGTTTTATTAGCAAAAACTCATGGAAGGAGACTTTAGAGAACAATACTAAATCTTTCTGGAATCGATTCCGTTTGTATCATAATTTGTGGTTTAAAATTATGATTGTTTGAAGTCATATTCTTGTATATGTAACATTTATGCGTCCTTTGTTCATTAGTAGTGAACAGTAACAGTTAAAATTTTGTTTTATTTACAATTTGGATTTCTAAGAGCATCCAACCCAACAGCAACTTTAGGAGGCATACAGATAAGAATATATATATGTTTTCCTTCCTTATTAATCCTTTTTACTAACTTGTAACTTCTGTACTTCTGTTTGGAGTGTAGAAGTCTTGAATTAAGCCTCATTGCCCTTGGTCCAATATTCTTATTCGGAGGTGTTCCAATGCACATTATTTATAAGATAAGATAAACTTTATTGTCATTTTTATACTGTGGGCACAACGGCACACATCAAAAATGAAATTTAGTTGCCTGTTCTCAAAGTGAAACACATACATGACACACACCTAAACATACTATGAACAACATATGCATAGACCCACATTCCTACATATACTTAGGAAATAAATATTAAATATTGTCTATCTTGAATATATAACGGAAGGAGGAAGCTTGAGAGTTCGCAAGGTTAATGCTGTTTGGAATGAAACTCTGGCTAAATCTCGATGTTCTGCTTCGGATACCACAAAGCCTCCTCCCAGAAGGTAACAAGGAAAACAGGTCGTGAAGAGGATGTGTAGTGTCCCAGATAATCTTACGGACCCTGCTCAAGCAGCGCTTTTGTGCTATGTCCTGGATGGGAGGGAGGGAACTGCCAATGATCTTTTTGGCCATCCTCACCACTCTCTGCACTGCCTTCCTGTCTGAAACAGTGATGCCTCCAAACCAGACTGTGATGCCGTATGACAGGATGCTCTCGATTGTCCCCCTGTAGAAAGTGGTCAGGACAGGGGAAGGAAGATGTGCTCCCAAATGTAGACAGGCAATAAGAGCAGTACAGAGGGAGGCAATGGGGCACTCCAAGGGAGAAGGAGAAGGCATTGAGAAGCCATGCCTTGGGGCTGCATAATAAAAAGGGAAGCTGGTTGCTGAAGGCAACTGTTTGCAAAGGACTCAAGGTTCATGGAATCCTGTTTTGTTTGCCTTGCTTGTGAACAATTCTGTTTGAATCGTGTTTTGTTTGCCTTTGCTTTTGGGACATTTTGCAGGTCTGTACCTAATTAATAAAAGGGGTTTGTTTTCTCTACTTGTCAAAAGAGGGGTTTGTGAATTAACAAGGACTCACATAGGCTGGGACAGAACACCTGGTAACGAAATGTTCAGAAACCAACCCACCAGCTCAGAACCTTCGCCCTCATCCTACACCCAAGCTACAGATATTCACCATTGTTGCAACTATTAAACAGACACTAAATGAACTGTTGTATGTTGAGGACTATCTGTATTCTTATTTTCCAACGCAGCTCATTTGTACCACAGAATGCAAAAGGAGTGGACTTAAAACAGTGCTGTCTCCTTAAACTTGCTAAATACTTATTTCTAATAACAGCCAAGTTGCTCCCGGCGCCGGAGGTAGGGAACTGGGTCAGAAGATTACAGAAGATCACATAGATGGCTCAAAAACTGGGAGGTGTTCTCAAAAATCAAAGATAATCCTGCAAGGAGTAATCTTTATCACATTTTTATGTCCTTCGGTTAGGTTCTCATGCCATCGAAGCCAAAAGGCAATGGAAGAAAACTTAATCCAGTATCAGTGAACTCTCCCAGGGGATCGCCAGAACTACGGAAGTAGAAGGAAGAAAAAAGATACAAAGATGGCCATCTAGCCAGCCAGTCCAGCATCTTCCTGGGTTGCAATTGTGGCTTCCATACATCTGATGAGTTTCGGGTGGGGAAACTTCTGATCGGGATAATTGTTCCTGCATCATGCCACTATATCTGAAATTATAAATGATCCAGAAAAGGATAAGCTAGAAATAGGCAAACTACAAAGAAGAGGAATGAAAAGGGATCTACAACAGGGGTCCCCAACGTATGGATTCGCTTAACGATCAGGTTACTAATTTATCAACTGCAGTGATTCCCTGAATAACTATGGCAAGAAAAGTCATAAAATGAGGCAAAGCTCCCTTAACAAATGTCTCACTTAACCACAGAAAATGTTGGGCTCAGTTGTGGCCATAAGTCAAGGACTACCTGTAAAGTGTACAACGGGCCAGAACACAAAGTTATAGTCGATTGGTTGACTCCTGCATGAGGCAATCTACGCTATGATTGGTTGCTGTGGGTGTAAAGGGGGAGTTTCCCTTTTTCCCTGCCTTTTTTCTTCTATTGTTTTAGTGTGCTATCTGATTTACCTCATGATGTTCCTGTGTTCCTGACTATCGTGTCTGCTGTGAATATAAATGTATATGTCTGTAAATTTAGATTTTGCCAACAAAGAGTTAAAGGGAGACTAGTATAGCTATTTCAAGCTATTTAGCTCTCATCAGCTAGCCATACCCTTCTGAGATTTGAACCTGGGCTGCTTGCATGTTAGGCAGCTGTATTAGCCTCTAGGCCAGGGCTTTTCAACCAGTAGTATGGGTACCACCTGTGGTACATTGGCACCTGGCAGGTGGTACGTGACCATCCTAGAAAAGTGGTAGAGGGGGAGGGGAATGAGCTGAACCAGTGGCAGCACCACACAAGCCTGAACGAGAGATGGCTGGAGCTGCAGGGTTGTTGGCTCAGCGGAAGCGCCAGGATCAGCACCAGGCTCCAGCTGGAGCTCGGCGCTGATCCCAGCGCTTCTGAGCCCAGAAAAAGCACCAATCAGCTGGAATGTTGCAGCATCTCCAGGGTCTTGTGGTTTACATTCAGATGCTTGGCAACTGATTCATATTTATGATGATCATAGTGTCCCAGGGTCATGTGAAGTGACTAAAATCTGCTGCAACCACCCAGCAGACGGGGGGAATAAAAACCAAACACCCCACCCCACCCCGGCTGCCAATCCTCAACAGAAATGCTCACAACAATGAAAACCTCGGACAGGAGGAAGAGCACCTCCAGGTGGGCAGGCAGGTGTCTTGCTCGGCTGTGGCTTGGGGGGCACTTTTTCAGTGCCATTGTAACTTCGAACAGTCACTAAATGAACTGTTGTAAGTCAAGGACTACCTGTACTTTATCGCTTTTTTCCTTTTGGGGGGGGTCAAGTTTTTGACACCTTGCTAGGCGACTGGTGGTACTCGAATATTGCCATATCCTAAAAGTGGTACAATGGGTGAAAAGGTTGAAAAGCCCTGCTCTAGGCCACAGGTTCTCCTCACTTCTGTCAGCCGAACCAGGGAGGATACATAGTAAGAGTTTTCTGGTGAAATCGGTCTAATAGAACACCTGGTCTACTGCTATGATTACTTTTGCCTTTCAAACCACTCCTAGATTGGGGTGTATGTATATGTATGTGTATGTGTATCGATCATCTGGGGGAGTTTTTCTGCTCTCTGAGCTACCCTCTCTTCCCTCAGTTGATCAGATGGTCAAAATGGTGGTTTTCAGACCTGCAAGATAGATGTCAGTCCTCCCAGGTAAATCAGATGGAAAACACAATCGGATGAAGTAATTCTACTATTATTCTAAGGCTTGCAGAATCTCGCAACCCTCTCGCACCTGAAGGCAGGACAAGAAGCAACGAATGGAAACTAACCAAGGAGAGAAGCAACCTAGAACTAAGGAGAAACTTCCTGACAGTGAGAACAATTAACCAGTGGAACAATCTGCCTCCAGAAGCGGTGAATGCTCCAACACTGGAAGTTTTTAAGAAGAGACTAGACGGCCATTTGTCCGAATGTGTGCTGAGCAGGGGGTTGAACTCGATGACCTCCAAGGTCCCTTCCAACTTTACTACTATTACTATTACTAAATAGACCAACTCCCTGAGCCAGCTTTTAACTGTTTGATCCATCAGGGTGGATTCTGCCTTACTCTGGCTACGTTAAGCGACTGGGGGCTCATGCTTCTCTTCTCGTCTGATCGTTTCCTAAGCAGCATCTCTTCCCCTCTTTCCATTATGGAGATTCTCAGCCATCCAGGTCATGGTTGTCCCCAAGGTCCTTTTTCAGGTAATGACCGGATTTTCTTGTTTTTCTTTGAAGATGTTTTGCTTCTCATCCAAGAAGCTGAAGAAGCTTCCTGGATGAGAAGTGAAATGCCTTCAAAAAAAAAAAAAAACACCCCAAGAAAGTCCAGTTGCCTCCTGAAAAAACACATTTGGGACTCCTTCCATTCCATTACAATTTAAATAAAAATGGGTAAGGAAATATTCTCACATACCATTGCCAGAAGAAGCAGATTCTTCGCTGTTCCCTGCAAATCAAAGAAGGAAGAATGACAGTAAGGTCAAATGGAAGTAGCCTCCACTTTTTCTGACCCATCTTCTCCCATTTTCATAGGAGAACATGGTAACACTTTTAACCTATCCCATTTCTCCTTGGTCATCTTTTCCGTAGACCAAATATTTCCAGATACTTTAATTATTATAGAATAGAATAGAATAGAATAGAACAGAATAAGGTTAGGTTGGAATAGAACAGAAATAGAATAGAACAGGAATAGAATAGAACAGAACAGAATAAGGTTAGGTTGGAATAGAATAGAAATAGAACAGAAATAGAATATAGAATAGAATAGAATAGAATAGAATAGAATAGAATAGAATAGAATAGAATAGAATAGAATAGAATAGAATAGAATAGAACAGAACAGACATTATAGGCATTATAAAGTGGTATTAACACTTCATGTGATTTTGTTTCTATCCCTCTGTTAATGCAGCCTACAATTGTGGTGGCTTTTTTGGCAGTTGCAGCACACTGCTGACTCATATTTCAGTGATTGTCCCCTAGAACAGTTTGAGGAAGATCAGTCTATAGTATTTTGCTTACTACAGATAGATCTTGAAATCCCCCACCTTAAATAATTTGTAGATTCCAATGAAGGAGACTATTTGTAGCTCAGGGTTGAAATATACTGTAACTAACAGCACTGATGATGTTACTTAGTTAGGGTAATGAAATGTCTGCAAGAAAACAAGCAAACTCAGAGAGCACCAAGGACCCCTCACTTTGTAGATTAGCTGTTTCTTCCCCAGAGTCAAGTGTGGATATATCACTGACATTAATATACTGGGAGGAGAAACAACTTGGAAAAGACAATTCTTCACTGTGTCCACTCACTGGAAGATCTCATCCATCTACAAATGGGGCAGTCTTCAATGGAACAAGAGCTCCTTCATTGGCCAGGAAGCTTATGATTCTTTCCCACGGTCATTTTTCTCTTTGGTTATGCTGTATAGCAGTGGTGGCGAACCTGTGGGCACATGTGCCGCAGCCCCAGCCCCACCTCCCCCCATGGCCCCCTCCTCACCAGCAGCCCCCCCAGAGGAGAGTTGCCCCTGGGCGCACCTGCAGCCAAGGACATGGCAGCCGGGCAGCAGGGACAAGACTCCGCCCTTGCACCCCATCGCGCGCAGATGATGCTGCGGGACACGGACGGAGGGCGTAGCTGCCATGGTGCTGCAGGGCCACCTGGGCGATCTGTGGTGGGCCGTGGACACGGTAGGTGGCCCTGCGGCCTGGGGTGGGGCAGTTTTTGTGTGCCCAATTCAATGTAGGTACAGCAGGTAAAGCATTGTCGTGCTTTGTCTGCCATCTTGGCCAATTTGGACCCCCCCCAATGGGGAGGGGCCTCCTGAGTACCACAAATACTCCTTCCATTTCAGAAAGGCCGTGTTCACGTACCTGATGCAGCTTGGTAGCCCTTCCGCCATTTTTCTGAAAGCACAAACAAAAACTTAGACCCAAATCTTTTTTAACCCTTTACAAAGGGCTGTGTAAGTTAATATTTTATTCAAGCCTTACGGCAGTGGTTCTCAACCTGTGGGTCGGGACCCCATTTGGGGTCGAACGACCATTTCACGGGGGTCACCAAACAACGCAGTCCACCATTTTTTTCCCCTTTTCCTTAGCTGTGCTACTCCCTTTTATTCTATTGGCTTTTGAAGGCCAATAGAATAGACTCTCTTGAATAGAGTCTAATTCTATTGGCTTTCCAAAGCCAATAGGAATTGTCCAGGCTGTCTCTGCCCTGCTGAGCCCGCCAAAAGTCCCATTCTGCAAACGGTGCTGCACCAGTTGAGTAGTCCTCGACTTACGACCGGTTGTGAGTCGCGGTATTAAAAAGGTTGAGAACCACTGCCTTACGGTATAGTTTCAGGGATTAGCCTTTTAATTTAGTGGCACCTAGTCTAGTTTGCAAAGACACCAGATGATGGCAGCAAAGAGAGCCATACAAATCTAAGCCTCCCCTCTAACAGGGAGACTGAGTTTTGCAGCCCAACTACAGGTATAATAGTCCTAATTTTGAGGGCCAGATTAGGATAATGGTTAAGATTATAAACCAGGAGGTCATGAATTCTAGTCCCAGCTTAAGCATGAAAGGGGGCTGAGTGACTTTGGCCAGTCAGTTTCTCTCAACCATGGGAAACAGGCAATGACAAAGCCCTTATGAAAAGCTTGCCAAGAAAACTATAGGGATTGTCCAGGATATCACCAGGAATCCATGCTGATTTGAAGGCACACCCCATCCACCAAAGTTTAATTTTAACTTTAGCTTTATAATGATGAAATGGTTGCAGAGTATTATGTATCCCATATATGAGGTATTATAAGTCAGGGGTTCCCAACCCCCGGTCCGTGGACCGGTACTGGGCCGCAGTATGCCAGCAATCTGTCCGCACAAATAAGCAAAGCCCCATCTGCAGGATATAGGCAGCACACCAAACCACACCCCCTCTGGTCCACGGAAAAAGCTCTCTCCGTGTAACTGGTCCCTGATGCCCAAAAGATTGGGGACATCTGTTATAAGTCATTGTATCTGATAATCAATTCCACATTCCACAGACAGTAAACCAGGAATTAATTAGTTAGGCATCCAAATAAGTACTCGGCAGACCAAGAACCATCAATCCAACTCTTGGCAGAACCAGATGTCAACGCTGCTAACATCGGATATTTTTGCTTTGACAACAGTTGGAGATGCAACCATTTTCTTCTTATGTTTTACTCTTGAGTTAGATGATGCTGCGGGGAGGAATGTGCATGAGAGTTTAGCTAGACATAACAATACTTGACCTAGTGTGTGAACCAAGGTTATTGAAATAAGAGATGATAAGAATTGGCGGGGCTGGAGAACTGGAGGGAAAGCCTGCATTTCAAACTAATTGGAGAATGTGATTTATGACAGTTAATTGGAGGAGGGAATTTTGTTTTGATACTATGTGCTCAGGGGAGGGGAATTCAATTTTTGGCTTTGACTGTGTTAGTGCCGATGCTATGCTTCTCTAATAAAGATTCTTTAAGATAAACAATACTCGAAGTTCTTTGAAGAGTTTCATCTGTCGGAACCATGATACCAGAAGCTTAGAAGGCCAAGAGGCTTATAGGATATGAGACAATCCCTAAGAAGGTGAGCCTTGCTTACATCTTGTAGAGAGGGGGCTGTCAGCAAGTCAGCAACAGGAGCATATTTCAGATTTTGCACTGGGTAGGCCATTTCTGCATAGGAGAGATGGTCCTGGAAGTACCTGGATGTCCTTTTGGATCCAGAAGAAGCTTTGACAACTGCTATGTTCTTCTAGATGTAAAAATGGTCCAGATGGACTGCCACCATTGAGCAGTGTAGATGGGGTCCCCAACTCCCGATACTGGGCCACAGCCTGTTCAGAACTGGGCTGTGCAAGCAGCAGGCGAGTGCACGAGGGGCACATGACACAGATTTTGCAAATGGCTAACTAATATAATTACTTTGTATTTAACTTGATGGACTTTCTCTTTTTTAAAATGACGTTTAGGTTTATTTATTTTATTTTTATTTTTAAAATTTATATGCCGCCCCACTCCCGAAGGACTCTGGGTGGCTAACAATAAAAAACACATAAAACATAACAAAACAATACAAAAACAATCATCCAGGGGTAAAGTTTTATAAACCCCAGGCCTGCCGGAAAAGCCAGGTCTTAAGTAGCTTATGGAAGACCAACAGGGTGGGAGCGGTCCTAATCTCCAGGGGGAGCTGATTCCAAAGCGTGGGCGCCATCACAGAGAAGGCCCTCCTCCGTGGCCCCGCCAAATGGCACTGCTTGGCCGACGGGGCCTCAAGGAGGCCCAGCCTGTGGGATCTAACCGGACGTAGGGAACTATGAGGTAGTAGGCGGTCTATTAGCTTTTAACATCCCTAAACTGATAAATGGGCTGGAGACGAGCTCCATGTAAGAAAACATTTGTTAGTACCAATTGGGATCCGGTTAAATCTCTTTTGCGAATGCCAAACAATCTTTTTCCTTATGATGTATGCCCCTTCCGATGTCAGACCTCACTTTAATGAACATGTGTGATATTATGGGAGGCAAATATGTAATGTGTTTGACTACATGTAACTGAGTTCCTATGCAAAGGGGAGGTGACGTTTATCCTGTCCAATCAACATTCCTCCTGCATTTTTCTTTGTTGTGTTAATTATGAAAAGGGACATAAGAGGGGGCTTGGGGTTCTCTCGTTTTTCATAGAGAGATCCCACTTTATCAGGTTACCCTAATAAACTGCTTTTAAATTATCTTCTGAGTCGGTTACTTATTGGGAAGGTAAACTGAGGCAGAACCTAAGGCCAGATTTGGCTATCAGCATGTGCCTGCCACTTGCCTGGAACATAATAATAATAATAATAATAATAATAATAATAATAATAATAATGATGATGATGATGATGATGATGATGATATCTGTAATACCATCAAACATCCACATCTGCCTATCCCAGGTCCTTGGTAAGGACTTGATAGGTAGACAAAATGCCAAATCCAGTCTGAACATCTGGCTGACTGTGCAATGATCCATAATAATAATAATAGTAATAATAATAATAATAATAATAATAATAATAATAATAATAATAATAATAATAATAAAGTTGGAAAGAATATTGGAGGTCATCTAGTCCAACCCCCTGCTCAGGCAGAAAACCCTATACCATTTCGGACAAATGGCTATCCAGTCTTTTCTTAAAAACTTCCAGTGTTGGAGCATTCACTGCTTCTGGCGGCAGGTTGTTCCACTGGTTAATTGTTCTGTCAGGAAGTTTCTCCTTAGTTCTAGGTTGCTTCTCTCCTTGATTAGTTTCCATCCGTTGCTTCTTGTCCTGCCGTCAGGTGCTTTGGAGAATAGCTTGACTCCCTCTTCTTTGTGGCAGCCCCTGAGACACTGGAACACTGCTATCATGTCCCCCCTCATCCTTCTCTTCATTAAGCTAGACATATCCAATTCCATCAACCGTTCCTTATATGCTTTAGCTTCCAGTCCTCTAATCATCTTTGTTGCTCTTCTCTGTACTCTTTCTAGAGTCTCAACATCTTTTTTCCTTTCTCCCCTCCACCAGTCCACAAATCTGGAAAGGTTGAGGACCACTGAGTAGAAAAGTTCAAAAGAGATAAAACTGGGGTATCTCTTGCTTGGCCCTTTCTATTTAGAGACTTCCAGGACTAATCCATGGGCAGATTCCCTTGTTGTGATTGGTGGAGATTGCTCTGCTCAGAGACACACGTGTTGGATTGGACATTATAAGCTTCAGGCACCGCCCATTACAAGAGTGGTGTTCTTCTCAGAGAGCAGGAGGGAGGCTGAAACTGCTACCAAGAAGCTTCTACCAACAGGAAGAAATCTCGGTTTACTTACTGGCGTAGAACAGGATCCCAATTACCAGCAAGACCACAGCAGCTAGAGCACTTAGGACACCACCCACGAGGATCCCTGTGGCAGATGAAACTAAGAAAAGAACAAAAAGTTGGATGAAAGGTTGGATACAATTTCCTTTGTGTACCGTTTTGTCCCACATTTCAACAACTGCCTGCAACTGAAAGTGATTTTTTTTCCCCAAAGGAAGTTTCTCACAGAGTTTTCTTTAACAAGATTGTTTATCTATCTATCTATCTATCTATCTATCTATCTATCTATCTATCTATCTATCTATCTATCTATCTATCTTTTTATTATTTTATTTTATTTTATTTTATATTTTATTATTTTATTTTATTTTATTATTTTATTTTATATTTATTTTATTTTATATTTATTTTATATTTTATTTTATATTTTATTTTATTACCGCCCATCTTGCGGTCCGAGAAGACTCAAAGCGGCAGATTTATTGAGAAGTAAAGAGTTACGAGCATTCCAACAGCTGAATTGGTTCCCATTTAAATTCAATATTTCCCTACCTGCGTTACAACAGAGATTTTCTGATTTTCTTTCTCACAAGTAGAAGAACGTAGTTTAAAATGATTGTTAGAGGAAAAAAAACCAGTGTCTGCTTGTAACACACGTGGGAAGAGATCGGTTCTAAGTGAGAAGCTGGAATCCTGGTAACCTCTTTCATCACAATAAGGAGAACTCTGAGAATCTACCTGGAAAATAGTCTTGTTAACCATCCGACTAGTGAACTCAAAATCAAGGAATCTTCAAGGCTTTGATGCACCATAAAAGATAAACATTATTGAATACACATCTCGGAACTAAAGAAGCAAAACAAGCTCTGATTTTCCCACTTGAAAATCTGCCTAGTTAACAATAGCTTCCCTTTATCCCTACCCACTGGGTGTTCACATTATCCAGTCATATATCTTTGGTTTGTTGTGAGAACTGTCCACTTCCTCATCAGACACTTGCATTAGTGACCTTGGCATTCTTGTAGACTCTCACGCTCTGTGGACAGCTTCTTAGACTCCCGTTTCCTCCCCATGCTTTCTACCCCTCCCCCCTATTTCTATGGCAAGTTGAGTAGCAATAGAAGTTAGCAAGCAACCTAGCAATTCAACCTTGACACTGTTATTCTTGGTTAGAAACCCCTGACAGGGAGCCGGGCAAAATAAAATCCTGGTTCTGAAAATTTCAGATCTGCTCCCTGAGATCTCTCAAGCCACGTGTGATGACCTAGGACACAGCACAGAGGCAATGCAGTCAGCTGGCAATTCAAAGAGTTCTTTTATTGCTCCAAATTTTCCCCAAATGCTCCCACATTTGTTGGCAAGCTTCCAACAAAAGAACACACACACACACACACACACACACACACCCCTTCAGCCAACTCTGGCTGAAAGTAGGTTCAAATACAGTTTGATTAGCATAAGAAAGTGCTCAAGGCCACAGAGATAACAAGGAAGAAAACATAAACTTAACGAGTCTGTTTGAATCAAAGCTTGCCTGAGCAATTTTCAAAAGAGAAAATCCGAAATACAGTCCGAGGTCTTTAAACATTCAAGCAACGTGGTCAATCAGTCCAATAGTCAGAGTTTCCAGGTTTCCAAACAGAAGTCACAGAACAAGACATCAGCAATAATACACAACACTCCAAGGATTCAGGTTTGTTCCTGACAAATGCCCCTCTCCACAGCCTCTCCTTAAATCTCAATCTCCAGGTGTTCCTTGTGAAGAAGGGTGGGACGCTCTCCTCCCGAGTAGTTGAGCCTGCCTGCGTTGTTCCCTCCTTCTCTCCACTCTCCGTGCTCTAGGGTCAGGTGGGGGTGGCCTTTACTTATCACCTGAACTCTGCCTCTCCTGTTCATCCTGTCCCAATCCTGAAGGGCCCTGGCCTGCCTCGGCCTGCTCTTCCCCACATTCCTCTGAAGCCACAGACACCTCGCCCACTACCTCCCCGCAGATTCAGATGGAGGCATGATACCACATGCTCCACACCCATCAGGCAGAAGGAAAGAAACAGGGCGAAAAGGGTTACTGTCTCTAGTCTGAACCTAGATATTATCTGTAGGAGACGGGGCCAAGAAGAGCACCCCATAAATAAGCCTTAAAATGCACTCCCTGGCATCCATGTGCCCCGTCCTTTCCTTGCAGTCACTCACCAGGCTTCTCCCAGGAGAAATCCTGAGGGTTCAGAAGACCGTCATGCTCCACGTGACATTTGTAGTGCTCCCTCTCCTCGGGGTCGATCTCAATGCTGAGCCAGGTGTGGTAAGTGCTGTCTGAATTGGGAGTGATCCCTCCCCGGAAGGTCTCTTGCTCCAGGATTTCCCCACCCTTCCTCCAAGTGACATCAACCTTTTTGGGGTAGAAGCCGTGCAGACGGCAGATGAGGATCTCCAGTCCGTTGTAGCTCCCTTTCTGGGTGACTGTCACCACTGGAGGTTCTGCAAAAATTGAAAGATTCTGGATACTCGACCGAACGACTGCTTGAGACTCAGGACAGGGGTCCCCAACCTGTGGGCCACGGCCCTCTACTGGGCCGCAGCCTATTGGCCACTAGGCCACATGAGTGGCTGGCTGGTGCTTGCGTGTGTGTGTGTGTGTGTGTGTGTGTGCTTGTTTGCATGCAGCCCCACTTGTGCAAGCGTCACCGCAAGCATTGCTACAGTTGTTTGTGGCCCCACTTCCTGCAGCCAAGAAGGCTCCACACCCATTTGCCCTACTCAGGTGATCCTGAGGACACAGGTAAACCTCCAAGTGGCCTCAATGACCAGCTATCTGTAAGGAGTATAAATCTTTCCATCCTTCACCATCTAGTCAGAACTGAAGAAGCTTCTTGGATGAGAAGCGAAACGTCTTCAAAGGAAAACAAGGAAGTCCAATTGCCTCCTGAAAAAAACACCTTTGGGTCCACGAGTCATAAAACACAAAATGAATAATCTCCTCCTTAGACGTGTTCATTTGACTCTATTTCCTAAGGAAGGTCAGTGCCTTCCCTGCCCATCAGACTGTGGCAAACAGCACTATTTCTGAGCGAAAGGAATTTGCAGAAGAGAACTTCATGCAAAGGGTTGGGCTGCAAATTCGGTCCTTCAGCCAGGGTGGGACACCATCACCTGCACAAATTCCAGACCAGCCCCTCAGCCCAGGAATCCATGAAATGCGATTGAGGAGAATTGCTTTTCGGGGAACTCATGGAAATCTTGAGTTGTAAGAAGACACGGAGGTCATCCAGTCCACCTCCGCTGTCTAGCAAAAGCTACCATCATTCTAAGATACCACCCCATCCCACGCCCCATCACCTTTTCTGAGTAGGGAGTCCTTGCCATAATTCAGATATTTGTGAAGCCACTCGATGCAGTCTCCTTCCAGGAAGTTCTTCCGGCTTTCGGTCCAAACCAGATCAGCCTCCCATTGCCTCTTGGTGACCTGAGCCCGCCAGTTGGCTGCTGTCCAGGTGAGGGTCTCTTTATCCAGGCTGAGAAAGTCTGTTCCATCGTAGCCAAACTGAGAACTGCCTTCTTTACGTCCATCTTGACGTAGCTCACACCCGTGCATCCACTGCCAGGTGTGAAGGCCTGTAAGACACACCTAGGTGAAGTTTGCATAGGTCACTTGGTATCAGAGATATAATGAAAAAATATACCATAGAAACCATCTAAAGCAGACATGTCAAACACAAGGCCCGGGGGCCGGATGCAGCCCGCGAAGTGGTTTCATGTGGCCTGTGAAGTCATCCTGGAAACAGTGAGGGAACAGACCCCGCTGCCTTGGCCCTGGCCCAGGCCAGCCCGGAGCCAATGTACAATTTTGTGGTGGCCATCCATGCTGAAACACATTCAGTCTTAGCTCCACAAGGCCATTTGGAAACAGCGAGGAACCAGGAGAACCTTGAGCAGCAGCCTTGAGGAAGTGGGGCTGGGCTTGGTGCTGCGGGTGCTCAAGGGCCAGGCTGGGCATTTGACCCAGAGGGCATTTGACCTCTGCTGCCTAGGGCTCCGGGCAGCCCGCACCACCAACCCCCCCCCGCATGGCCTGAGAGGAACAGTGAGGCTCCTCCAGTGGACCATACCTTGGCGCTTGCCCTGGTCCCACCCCCTTCAGCCAGAGACCCTCAGATCTATCCCACTGCTGCCCATGCCCCCACAAGCACCCTTGACACGAACAATGTAGAGCTGGCCATGCCCACCCAGTAGGCCACACCACTCCATCCACACCCACCCAGTAGGCCACACCCACCGGCCCCCCTGAGGGCAACCGCATTGCTAACGCGGCCCTCAATGAAATTGAGTTTGACACCCCTGATCTAAAGGTAGTGGGAACTTCATCACTGGAAGCTTTCCAGAAGAGAATGGACTGCCATCTGTCAGAAATGGCGTAGGTTCTCCTGCTTGGGTGGGGGAGTTGGACTAGATAACCTATAAAGTCCCTTCCAACTCTGTTATTCTATTCTATTCTATTCTACTCTACTCTACTCTACTCTGTTCTGTTCCATATTTTCTATTCTATTCTATTCCATTTCTTATTCTATTCTATTCTATTCTATTCTATTCTATTCTATTCTATTCTATTCTATTCTATTCTATTCTATTCATTCTGTTCTGAATTCTATTCTATTCATTCTGAATTCTATTCTATTCATTCTGAATTCTCTATTCTATTCTATTCATTCTGAATTCTATTCTATTCTATTCATTCTGAATTCTATTCTATTCATTCTGAATTCTATTCTATTCATTCTGAATTCTATTCTATTCTATTCTACTCTACTCTACTCTACTCTGTTCTGTTCTGTTCTGTTCTGTTCCATATTTTCTATTCTATTCTATTCTATTCTATTCTATTCTATTCCATTCCATTTCTTATTCTATTCTATTCTATTCTATTCTATTCTATTCATTCTGTTCTGAATTCTATTCTATTCATTCTGAATTCTATTCTATTCATTCTGAATTCTATTCTATTCATTCTGAATTCTATTCCATTCCATTCCATTCCATTCCATTCTTATTCCATTCCATTTCTTATTCTATTCTATTCTATTCTATTCTATTCTATTCTATTCTATTCTATTCTATTCATTCTGTTCTGAATTCTATTCTATTCATTCTGAATTCTATTCTATTCATTCTGAATTCTCTATTCTATTCTATTCTATTCATTCTGTTCTGAATTCTATTCTATTCTATTCATTCTGAATTCTATTCTATTCATTCTGAATTCTATTCTATTCTGTTCTGTTCTGTTCTGTTCCGTTCCGTTCCGTTCCATTCCATTCCATTCTTATTCTGTTCTGTTCTATTCTATTCTATTCATTCTGTTCTGAATTCTATTCTATTCATTCTGAATTATATTCTGTTCTATTCATTCTGAATTCTATTCTATTCATTCTGAATTCTATTCTATTCTATTCTATTCTATTCTATTCCATTCCATTCCATTCCATTCTTATTCCATTCCATTTCTTATTCTATTCTATTCTATTCTATTCTATTCTATTCTATTCTATTCATTCTGTTCTGAATTCTATTCTATTCATTCTGAATTCTATTCTATTCATTCTGAATTCTCTATTCTATTCTATTCATTCTGAATTCTATTCTATTCTATTCATTCTGAATTCTATTCTATTCATTCTGAATTCTATTCTATTCATTCTGAATTCTATTCTATTCTATTCTACTCTACTCTACTCTACTCTGTTCTGTTCTGTTCTGTTCTGTTCCATATTTTCTATTCTATTCTATTCTATTCTATTCTATTCTATTCTATTCTATTCTATTCTATTCTATTCTATTCCATTCTTATTCCATTCCATTTCTTATTCTATTCTATTCTATTCTATTCTATTCTATTAATTCTGTTCTGAATTCTATTCTATTTATTCTGAATTCTATTCTATTCATTCTGAATTCTATTCTATTCTATTCTATTCTATTCTATTCTATTCCATTCCATTCCATTCTTATTCCATTCCATTTCTTATTCTATTCTATTCTATTCTATTCATTCTGTTCTGAATTCTATTCTATTCATTCTGAATTCTATTCTATTCATTCTGAATTCTCTATTCTATTCTATTCTATTCATTCTGTTCTGAATTCTATTCTATTCTATTCATTCTGAATTCTATTCTATTCTGTTCTGTTCTGTTCCGTTCCGTTCCGTTCCGTTCCATTCCATTCTTATTCTGTTCTGTTCTATTCTATTCTATTCTATTCTATTCTATTCATTCTGTTCTGAATTCTATTCTATTCATTCTGAATTATATTCTATTCATTCTGCATTCTATTCTATTCATTCTGAATTCTCTATTCTATTCTATTCTATTCTATTCTATTCTATTCCATTCCATTCCATTCCATTCTTATTCCATTCCATTTCTTATTCTATTCTATTCTATTCTATTCTATTCATTCTGTTCTGAATTCTATTCTATTCATTCTGAATTCTATTCTATTCTATTCATTCTGAATTCTATTCTATTCATTCTGAATTCTCTATTCTATTCTATTCTATTCATTCTGTTCTGAATTCTATTCTATTCATTCTGAATTCTATTCTATTCATTCTGAATTCTATTCTATTCATTCTGAATTCTATTCTATTCTATTCTATTCCATTCCATTCCATTCCATTCTTATTCCATTCCATTTCTTATTCTATTCTATTCTATTCTATTCATTCTGTTCTGAATTCTATTCTATTCATTCTGAATTCTATTCTATTCTATTCTATTCATTCTGAATTCTATTCTATTCATTCTGAATTCTATTCTATTCTATTCTATTCTAGTCTAGTCTAGTCTATTCCATTCCATTCCATTCTTATTCCATTCCATTTCTTATTCTATTCTATTCTATTCTATTCTATTCATATAATTTCATATTAGTAAAGTTGGAAGGGACCTTGGAGGTCATCTAGTCCAACCCCCTGCTCGGGCAGGACACCCTACACCATTTCGGACAAGTGGCTGTCCAGTCTATTCTTAAAAACTTCCAGTGTTGGAGCATTTACTGCTTCTGGAGGCAAGCTGTTCCACTGATTAATTGTTCTCCCTGTCAGGAAGTTTCTCCTTAGTTCTAGGTTGCTTCTCTCCTTGATTAGTTTCCACCCGTTGCTTCTTGTCCTGCCTTCAGGTGCTTTGGAAAATAGCTTAATTCCCTCTTCTTTATGGCAGCCCCTGAGATATTGGAATACTGCTATCATGTCCCCCCTTGTCCTTCTCTTCGTTAAACTATACATACCCAATTCTCGCAACCGTTCCTTATATGTTTTAGCCTCCAGTCCCCTAATCATCTTTGTTGCTCTTCTCTGTACTCTTTCTAGAGTCTCAACATCTTTTTTGCATCGTGGTGACCAAAACTGGATGCAGTATTCCACGTGTGGCCTTACCAAGGCATTGAAGAGTGGTATTAATACTTCACGTGATCTTGATTCTATCCCTCTGTTAATGCAGCCGAGCACTGTGTTGGCCTTTTTGGCAGCTGCAGCACACTGCTGGCTCATATTTAGGTGATTGTTTACTAGGACTCCGAGGTCCCTCTCACAGTTACTACTATTGAGCATGGTGCCACTTATGCTGTACTTGTGCATTTGGTTTTTCTTGCCTAAATGTAGAACCTTGCTTTTTTCACCATTGAATTTCATTTTGTTAGTTAGTGCCCAGTGTTCAAGTCTGTCCAGATCCTTCTGTATCTTAAGCCTGTCTTCTGGAGTGTTGGCTATTCCTGCCAGCTTGGTGTTGTCTGCAAATTTGGTGAGTTCCCCATCTATCCCCTCTTCTAAATCGTTGATGAAGATGTTGAAGAGCACTGGGCCCAGAACAGAGCCCTGGGGCACCCCACTACACACTTCCCTCCATATAGATGCAGTTCCATTGAGGACCACTCGCTGAGTACGGCCGGTCAGCCAGCTACGGATCCATCTGGTGGTGGTTCTGTCTACCCCAATTCCTATTCCACTCTACCCTATTCCCTATTCTACTCTACTCTACTCTGCTCCACTCTACTCACTGCAGTTGTTAAATTAGCAACACAGTTGTTAAGTGGTTTTACCACTGACTGCTTGTCAGAAGGTCACAAAAGGGGATCACATGACCCCAGGACACGGCAACCGTCATAAATATGAGTCAGTCGCCAAGCGTCTGTATTTTGATCCCGTGACCCTGGGGATGCTGCAAAGGTCATAAGTGTGAAAAACGGTCATAAGTCACTTTTTTCAATGACACTGTAACTTTGAACGGTCACTAAATGAACTGTGGTAAGTCGAGGACTACCTGTATTCAAACCCCAACTAATTCAGCCCTTCGAGGTAGGCTGGTCAATGAAAAAGACACTGCAAGGATTGCAGGAATTATTCCAGTAATGTATGATAACAGAACCTTGTCCAGTTGAGACTCTAGACAGAATACAGAAAAGAGCAACAAAGATGATCAGGGGACTGGAGGCTAAAACTTACAAGGAACGGTTGCTAGAATTGGGGATGTCTAGTTTAACGAAGAGAAGGACAAGGGGGGACATGATAACTATGTTCCAATATCTCAGGGGCTGCCCCAAAGAAGAGGGAGTCAAGCTATTCTCCAAGGCACCTGAAGGCAGGACAAGAAGCAATGGATGGAAACTAATCAAGGAGAGAAGCAACCTAGAACTAAGGAGAACCTTCCTGACAGTTAGAACAATTAACAAGTGGAACAACCTGCCTCCAGTAGTGGTGAATGCTCCAACACTGGAAGTTTTTAAGAAGAGACTGGACAGCCATTTGTCTGAAATGGTATTTCCAACTTTATTATTATTATTATTATTATTATTATTAACTCTTTGTTCCACCTTATATTAAACAAAATCAAGATGAGGTTATCTGAGTTTCTTTCCCACATGTGTTTCAATGTATGGACTGTGGAAATCTTTTGGGAAAAGTGTACAGTAGAAGTGCCACCTTTGGTTAAGTATCCACCCATTTTTCTTCTAATTTCTTTATAACTCTAGCCTTGTTCACTTAATAATACTATTTTACATCGCTTTCTGGGCAACCAGTCAACTCTTTGCACCATGACTTTAATTTTATTATGTTTTACAAGCTCACTAAATGAAAGAACACAAAAAACCCAACCAACTCGATAGGGATCACATAACACACTGATAAATGTCCTCTTCTCAGCTTCAGTACATGACATCAATAACTGAATCCTACTGTGATCTGATTGGCTCATTGCCAAAACAAAATGACACTTGATTGGTTCTCTAAACATCATGATAATGATAATAATGATAATGATAATAATAAAGGAAGGAACCTTGGAGGTCATCTAGTCCAACCCCCTGCTCAGGCAGAAAACCCTATACCATTTCAGACAAATGGCTGTCCGGTCTCTCCTTAAAAACTTCCAGTGTTGGAGCATTCATCGCTTCTGGAGGCAGGTTGTTCCACTAGTTAATTGTTCTAACTGTCAGGAAGTTTCTCCTTAGTTCTAGGTTGCTTCTCTCCTTGATTAGTTTCCATCCGTTGCTTCTTGTCCTGCCTTGTCATTGGCTACAATCGGATGAAGGAAAGCTACCTGATATCAACCTAAGCAAGTTGTGCTTCATTTTTCTGGTTATCTGGCTATAACTTTTCATAGAATACAGTACAGATAACTGAACAAACTATGTTGCATTACATTCTTGATTAAATTATCTTTCCATTGATATATAATTTTATGGTACTACTCCAAAACAAAAGTGGTGTTATTAGCCATCAAACCTCAAAAATACACTTTTCCCAAAAGGTTTCCACAATTTTGGCCACTACTGTAGAATCCTTGAATGGAAAAGGTCTCAGAGATCACAGATTCTAGATCAGAGGTAGGCAACCTTGGCTCTTTTATGACTCGTGGACTTCAACTCCCAGAATTCCTGAGCCAGCCATGCTGAGGGGAAAGGGAGAGGTTGCCAAGCTGAGCCAGGCTGGCTCAGGAATTCTGGGAGTTGAAGTCCATGAGTCATAAAAGAGCCAAGGTTGCCTACCCCTGGACTAGGACTAGGCCGCTTTATGACTCGTGGACTTCAACTCCCAGAATTCCTGAGCCAGCCTGGCTCAGCTTGGCAACCTTTCCCTTTCCTCTCAGCATGGCTGCCTCAGGAATTCTGGGAGTTGAAGTCCACGAGTCATAAAGCGGCCTAGGCCTAGTCCAGGGGTAGGCAGCCTTGGCTCTTTTATGACTCGTGGACTTCAACTCCCAGAATTCCTGAGGCAGCCATGCTGAGAGGAAAGGGAAAGGTTGCCAAGCTGAGCCAGGCTGGCTCAGGAATTCTGGGAGTTGAAGTCCACGAGTCATAAAAGAGCCAAGGTTGCCTACCCCTGTGTCTAAGCTAACCCCGCTTGGTGGGCGTGCAGGAAGGCAGCCTGTAGCCAAGCTCCCATCTCCCTGGCACTTACCCGGGGTATGGTTGAAGCGGTTCCAGAGGCTCAGTTGGAAGTAGAGTTCCCAGCTGTGGGAGAGTTGAGTTTGCCAGTCCCAATACTGGGCATCATCTTCATCCACCCTCTGAATCCAGGACCCTCGTGGCAAGTCCCTCCGGGAATCGCTGTCGTAGTGGACAAACTGCTGATCATCCAAGTAGCCCACAATGACAAACCGTGGCAGGCCGTGGCCCAGTTCTGACACGCCGGTGAAGAAATAACGCAGGGCGTGGGAAGAGGCGTCTACCGGGAGAAAGAAGCAGACATTCGGTGAGTATCATTTGCTGCTGAACAGAACTGAAAACCCCAAAGGACCTCTGTCAAACTGCAAAGCCAGGATGAACAGTTGAGGGAACTAGGTGTGATTAGCCTATTGAAGGGAAAAATTGGGGGGGGGGAGAGAACCATCTTCAGGAATAGAATAGAATAGAATAGAATAGAATAGAATAGAATAGAATAGAATAGAATAGAATAGAAGAGTAGGGATAGAATAGGGAGTAGGGATTTGTTGTTGTTGTTAATTGCGAAGTCATGTCCAACCCATCGTGACCCCATGGACAACGTTCCTCCAGGTCTTCCTGTCCTCTACCATCTTCTGGAGTCCATTTAAGTTCACACCTACTGCTTCAGTGACTCCATCCAGCCATCTCATTCTCTGTCGTCCCCTTCTTCTATTGCCCTCAATCTTTCCCAGCATCAGGCCCTTTTCCAATGAGTCCTTCCTTCTCATTAGGTGGCCAAAGTATTTGAGTTTCAACTTCAGGATCTGGCCTTCTAAAGAGCAGTCAGGGTTGATCTCTTCTAGGACTGACTGGTTTGAACGCCTTGCAGTCCAAGGGACTTGCAGGAGTCTTCTAGGGAGTAGGGATAGGATAGGATAAAATAGGATAGGATAGAATAGGATAGGACTATGATGGCGAACTTTTAGAGACCGAGTGCCCAAAACTGGCCCAGCCCCCGTTCCACCCCCTGCCCTGCCCCACTCCACCCCCCCATCCCCCACGCCGCTTGCCCGCAGGGCCACTCACTGCCTCCAGGGCCTGCCGCAGATCGCCCAGGCAGCCCAGCAGCGGCATGGTGGCCACGCCCTCTGCCTGTGCCCTGCAGCATCCACTGTGCATGATGGGGTGTGAGGGCAGAGTCTTGTCTACGCTGCCTGGCTGCCATGTCCTTGGCTGCGCTGCTCCGCGTGGGCCACGCTCAGGGTCAACTCTCCTTCAGGGGGGCTGCTGGAGAGGAGGGGGTCGTGGGAGGGAGGCGAAGCTAGGGCAACGGCATGTATGCCCACAGAGAGGGATCTGAGTGCCAGCTCTGGCACCCATGCCATAGGTTCACCACCACTGGGATAGGATAGGATAGGATAGGATAGGATAGGATAGGATAGGATAGGATAGGACAGAACAGAATCTCCCACAATTTCTGAAGGCAAACTGTTCCATTGTTTGATTGTTCTCACTATCACAGTGGTTCTCAACCTGTGGGTCGGGACCCCATTTGGGGTCGAACGACCATTTCACAGGGGTCGCCAAACAACGCAGTCCGCCATTTTTTCCCCCTTTTCCTTAGCTGTGCTACTCCCTTTTATTCTATTGGCTTTTGAAAGCCAATAGAATAGACTCTCTTGAATAGAGTCTAATTCTATTGGCTTTCAAAAGCCAATAGGAATTGTCCAGGCTGTCTCTGCCCTGCTGAGCCCGCCAAAAGTCCCATTCTGCAAACGGTGCTGCACCAGTTGAGTAGTCCTCGACTTACAACTGGTTGAGTAGTCCTCGACTTACGACCGGTTGGGGGTCGCGGCATTAAAAAGGTTGAGAACCACTGCATTATCATAACATTTCTCCTTATTTCTAGGTTGAATCTCTCCTTGACCAGTTTCCACCAGTTCTTTGTTGTCTGACCTTCAGGAGCTTTGGAAAAATAGGTTGACTCCCTCCTCTTGTGGCAGCCCCTGAAATATATTGGAACCCTGCTATCGTGTCTCCTCTGGTCCTTCTCTTCACTAGACTAGCCCCGCCCAGTTCCTGTAACCGTTCTTGAGCAGCTGTCACGGAGAAGAAGGGACTGACTTATTCTCCAAAGAACCAGAGGGCAGGACAAGAAGCAATGGCTGGAAGCTTATCAAAGAGACATCCCATCTAGAAGTAAGGAGAAATGTCTGAAAACAAGAGCAATCCATCAGTGGAACAGTTTGCCTCCTGGAATTGGCGCGGGCTCCATCACTGGAGGTTTTCAAAAACCAGGAGGGTATGAAGTTGAAGTAATTCTATCCAGATTCTATCCCTCTGCATTAACAGAGGGATAGAATCAAGATCACGTGAAGTATTAATACCACTCTACAATGCCTTGGTAAGGCCACAGTTGGAATACTGCATCCAGTTTTGGTCACTACGATGTAAAAAAGATGTTGAGACTCTAGAAAGAGTACAGAGAAGAGCAACAAAGATGATTAGGGGACTGGAGGCTAACACATAAGTAACGGTTGATGGAATTGGGTATGTCCAATTTAATGAAGAGAAGGACGAGGGATGACATGATAGCAGTCTTCCAGTATCTCAGGGGCTGCCCCAAAGAAGAGGCAGTCAAGCTATTCTCCAAGGCACCTGAAGGCAGGACAAGAAGCAACTTGGAGGGAAAATTATCAAGGAGAGAAGCAACCTGGAACTAAAGAGAAACTTCCTGACAGTCAGAACAATTAACCAGTGGAACAACCTGCCTCCAGAAGCAGTGAATGCTCCAACACTGAAAGTTTTTAAGAAGAGACTGGACAGCCATTTGTCCGAAATGGTGTAGGGCAGGGGTTCTCAACCTTGGCAACTTTAAGACTTGTGGACTTCAACTCCCAGAATTCCTCAGCCAGCTTTGCTAGTTGAGGAATTCTGGGAGTTGAAGTCCACAAGTCTTAAAGTTGCCAAGGTTGAGAACCCCTGGTGTAGGGTTTCCTGCCTGAACAGGGGGTTGGACTAGATGACCTCCAAGGTCCCTTCCAGCTTTACTACTATTACCATTACTAAAGTTGGAGTAGAAGACCTCTGAGGGTCCCTTCCACCCTGGGATTCTATCTTTTACCCAGACCCAGCCAATCACATGAAAGGGAAGAAAACTCCGCCCGCAGCGCTGGGAAATTCCTGTCTAGCGAAAGGGGGAGAAATTCTGTACTGTCTGAACCCTGCGAGGCGGGCACGCGTGACCTCCCCACCCAGCGCAAAGAAGCTTCTCTCCCCTCCGCCCCGCGTCCTTCCCGGCGCCCCCTTTCCCTTCCCGCCTTAGGCATCCTCCTCCAGCCTTCCCCTGCAGGTGGAGCTCCAGTGCCCGTCTTGCCCGGCTGCTCCGGTGTTGCCCTGTGCCGGGAAAGCGGGGGAGGCTGGCCGGTCCAGACCCGCGGCTGCTCTGCCCACGGACTCCCAAGGGCGCCCTAGAAAGGGGGAGTCCCCGCGTAGTGGGGTGCTCTCTCTCTTCCCGCCACTCACCCGCAACGCCCGCGCCCAACAGCAGCAGCGGCAGCAGCAACAAGAGGGACGGGGAGATCATGCGGAACCCAAGGCTAACCTCGCCTGGCAGCTAGGCGGAAGAGCGAGCAGCTGCCGGGAACAGCGGCCAGCAGCTGGCGAAGTGCCGCCTGCCCCGCGGGGAGGGTGCTGGGCGGATCTGGGTGGAGTCTCCGCCCTGGGGCAAAAATGCGAGGCTGGGAGCGGGGCAGGGACCTTAGAGCAACCCTCACCCCCCCCCCACTCCTCCAACTGTCACTCACGCTCACATATCAGGAAGGGTTGCTGGAATTGGGGGTGTCTGCTTGAATGAAGGACCAGGGGAGACAGGATATCTCAGGGGCTGCCCCAAAGAAGAGGGAGTCAAGCTCGGGTGGAAACTAAGCAAGGAGAGAAGCAACCTAGAACTAAGGAGAAACTTCCTGACAGTGAGAACAATTAACCAGTGGAACAGCCTGCCTCCAGAAGCAGTAAATGCTCCAACACTGGAAGTTTTTAAGAAGAGACTGGACAGCCATTTGTCCGAAATGGTGTAGGGTTTCCTGCCTGAGCAGGGGGTTGGGCTAGATGACCTCCAAGGTCCCTTCCAACTTTACTACTATTACTAAGCTATTCTCCAAAGCGCCTGAAGGAAGGACAAAAAGCAAGGGATGGAAACTAATCAAGATCACGTGAAGGTCCCCCAAGGTCCCTTCCAACTTTATCATTATTATTATTATTAAGTATTAATACCACTTTACAATGCCTTGGTAAGGCCACACTTGGAATACTGCATCCAGTTTTGGTCACCACGATGTCAAAAAGATGTTGAGACTCTAGAAAGAGTACAGAGAAGAACAACAAAGATGATTAGGGGACTGGAGGCTAAAACAAATAAGGAATGGTGGCTGGAATTGGGTATGTCTAGTTTAATGAAGAGAAGGATGAGGGGGGACATGATAGCAGTCTTCCAATATCTCAGTGCCACAAAGAAGAGGGAGTCAAGCTATTCTCCAAAGCACCTGAAGGCAGGACAAGAAGCAATGGATGGAAACTAATCAAGGAGAGAAGCAACTTAGAACCAAGGAGAAACTTCCTGGCAGTTAGAACAATTAACCTGTGGAACAACCTGCCTCCAGAAGCAGCCTGAGCAGCGGGTTGGACTAGATGATCTCCAAAGTCCCTTCCAACTCTGTTGTTCTATATTCTATGATATGATATGATATGATATTCTTTCTATTCTATTCTATTCTACTCTATTCTTTCTCTTCCCTTCTATTCTTCTATTGCATATTCTATTCTGTTCTTTTCTGTTCTTATATTGTACATTCTATTCCATTCCATTCCATTGTAATTCTACTCTATTCTTGTATATTCTATTCTTGTATATTCTATTCTATTCTATTCTATTCTATTCTATTCTATTCTATTCTATTCTTATATTGTATATTCCATTCCATTGTAATTCTATTCTATTCTTATATTGTATATTCTATTCTATTCTATTCTATTCTATTCTATTCTTATATTGTATATTCCATTCCATTCCATTGTAATTCTATTCTATTCTTATATTGTATATTCTATTCTATTCTTATATTGTATATTCTATTCTATTCTATTCTATTCTATTCTATTCTATTCTATTCTATTCTATTCTATTCTATTCTATTCTATTCTATTCTATTCTATTCTATTGCAGCTTGCTGTAGTAGGTCCCTTACTTGAATTCATGGGGCACAGCATTTCAGATTCCTCTTTTCAGATTCTCGAGGGTTTCATGTGATTTGCACGTGGGATTTGTTGCTTTTGTCATCCCCTAATTATGCAAGAATGTTGCTCAGGTTGCATAAACTGAATTTCCACCCTTGCATTTCCTTAGGCTAAGTGAGGTTATATTTGCAAAACTGAAGTCCAATTTTTTTTTTTAAACCAATGTTTGAATCCGAAAGCCAGGTGTTCTCTTTTAATCCTTTTTGCTCCTGAGTTGTTCGATGCTTAGGCTGTTCTGTGAGAGGCACAAATAGAGGATGTGGCTTGGCGGTAGTGAGTGCAGGTGAAAGGGATCTGGTTGTCTTAGGGACCACAAGTTAAGACACCAGCCAGCTGTGTGATGCAGCAGTTAAAAACACCGGAATACAACAGAATAACAGAGTTGGAAGGGACCTTGGAGGTCTTCTAGTCCAACCCCCTGCTCAGGCAGGAAACCCTATACTATTTCAGACAAATGATTGTCCCATCTCTTAAAAACCTCCAGTGATGGAGTACTCAAAACTTCTGGTGGTAAGTCATTCCACCCATTAACTGTTGTACCTGTTCAGGAAATTTCTCCTTAGTTCTAGGTTGCTACTCCCCTTGATTAGTTTCCATCCGTTGCTTCTTGACCTGCCCTCAGGCACCTTGGAGAATAGCTTGACTCCCTCTTCTTTGTGGCAGCCCCTGAGATATTGAAACACTGCTATCATGTCCCCCCTCATCCTTCTCTTCATTAAACCAGACATACCCAATTCCAGCCACCATTCCTTATTTGTTTTAGCCTCCAGTCCCCTAATCTGCCTTTTCATCCTGCTTCACATTATGTAATGCAAGTAATAACTGAAAAAAAAAAACATAAGGGGTTATAGCAATGTAAATTAGAACAGGGCTTTTCAACCTTTTCACCCATTGTACTACTTTTAGGATATGGCAAAATCCGAGTACCACCAGTCGCCTAGCAAGGTGTCAAAAACTTGATGATCAAAAAAAAAAAAAGGAAAAAAGTGATGAAGTACAGGTAGTCCTCGACTTACAACTTAGTGACTCTTCAAAGTTACAATGGCACTAAAAAAAAGTGCCCCCTAAGCCACAGCCGAGCAAGACAACTGTCTGCCCACCCGGTGGCGCTCTTCCTCCTGTCGGAGGTTTTCACTGTTGTGAGCATTTCTGTTGAGGATTGGCAGTGGGGTTGAGGTGGGGGGGATATTTGGTTTTTATTCCCCCAGTCTGCTGGGTGGTTGCAGCAGGTTTTGGTCACTTCACATGATCCTGGGACACTGTGACCATCATAAATATGAATCAGTTGCCAAGCATCTGAATGTAAATCACAAGAGCCTGGAGATGCTGCAACATTCCAGCTGATTGGCGCTTCTTTGGGGCTCAGCGGAAACGCCAGGATCAGCGCTGAGCTCCAGCTGGAGCCAAGCGCTGATCATGGTGCTTCCACTGAGCCCTGACAGCCCTGCAGCTCCAGCCATCTCTAGCTTAGGTGCGGTTCTGCCACCGGTTCAGCTCATTCCCCTCCCCCACTACCACTTTTCTAGGATGGTCGCGTACCACCCGCCAGGTGCCAATGTACCACAGGTGGTACCCGTACCACTGGTTGAAAAGCCCTGAATTAGAAAATGTAATGTCTTATTCCTAACTCTGTGGCGATCTTTCTTTGCCTTCCCTCATATTGCCCATCTCTGGACTCACACAATCTTGAGGGGTCCTTGGCGCTCTCTGAGATTGCTTGTTTTCTTGCAGACATTTCATTACCCAAACTAGGCAACATCATCAGTGCATCGTCACACAATCTTTTCAATATCTTCTTTTAAGTGAGGTCTCCAGAACTGGACACAGTATTCCAAATGGGGTCTCACTAAAGCTCTATGAAGCGGGTTAGGATCTCCTTTTTCTTGATGGCGATACCTCTAGTGATGCATCCCAGAATTTTGTTTGCCTTCACAGTTGCCTGGCTACAGTGTTTATTCGTTTTGCGGTTATAATTTATCAGTGCTATTGTAGCTGTTTTTACACAGTCTTGTGAAAAAAGTGCTGTTTGAACACATTTACACAAAGGCAGCTTAAAAATAATTCCTAGTATTGTGGAAATATGCACACCTTTGCGTCTGTTCTGAGCTGTGTCCACACATGGAGCGGTTAGAGCAAGTAGTTTTGGTAAGAGAATGTATGAATGCATATTAAGTTCCCATAGGTAGCCAGCCTTCTGGCCAACACAGGTAGTCCTTGATTTACAATGTAACCATTTGAAATTACGATGGCGCTAAATGATGGTTCTGACCCCCTTCCTTCCTTCCTTCCTTCCTTCCTTCCTTCCTTCCTTCCTTCCTTCCTTCCTTCCTTCCTTCCTTCCTTCGTCCCAAGTTTTGTTGCAGACATTTCATTACCCAAATTAGGTAACATCATCAGTGGATAGATGATGTTACCTAGTTTGGGAACAAAACGTCAGCAAGAAAAGAACCAAGCTTGGAGAGCAACAAGGACCCCTCAATCCAACTTGCATCCATTGTGTCAAATTAAGATCGGAATCAAACAGTATGAACTCAGAAGCAGGGAACCTTTTTCAGTCAAAGACCTCTCATGATAGAATAATGACAAATGTCAGTGTAGAGCAGACATGTCAAACACAAGGCCCGGGGGCCAGATGCGGCCCGCGAAGTGGTTTCATGTGGCCCGCGAAGCCATCCTGGAAACAGTGAGGGAACGGCCCCCGCTGCCTTGGCCCTGGCCCAGGCCCAGGCCGGGAGCCAATGTACAATTTTGCGGTGGCCATCTATGCTGAAACGCATTCAGCCTTAGCTCCACAAGGCCGTCTGGAACCAGCGAGGAACCAGCCCCTGCCGCGTCGGCCCCGCCCCCTGGGTGCATGCTGGGGAGGTGTCCCCCTTTGTGAGGAATGAAGAAATGCACCATCGCCTGGAAGTGGCCAGCAAATGGCCCTGGCCTACTTCACCTATCCGGCTTGATGGGCTCTGGGGGAGGGGTTTCGGCAGGCAGCGGGGCGCTCTCCTCAGAGCGCCAAGAGGCTGAGCTGGGTGGCGCGAATCTGATGAGAAGTGTAATGCTGCCTAGCCCTCAGCCTGCCCAGTTTCAGCAGGCAGCAAGGTGCAAAGCTGATGAGCTTCGCACCGCCTGGCTCAACCTCTTGGCACTCAAGACAGGGCAGGCTGGGGGCTGGGCAGCATTGCGCAGGTAACGTTGACTCTCGTGCTGCTCATGGCATCCCTCCCCCCAGAGCCCACCAAGCCAGATATGTGAAGTAGGTGAGGGCCATGTGCTGGCCATGTGCATTTCTTCATTCCTCATGAAGGGTGACACCTCCCCAGCTGTGTTTCTTGCCTGTTTTTCTCCCTCCCTCATCTCAAATATTTTCCTACCACTCTGTACTTAAGAAGGAAGA